AGTTCTGGGGTGTAAATAAAGATGGACTGGAGAGATGTGTAAAAGCCGATGAAAGGTTTTGGTATCAGCTGGTAAATATAAAGGTGTTAAATCCTGCGAAATAAACTAAACCTACAGAAACGACACATCCTCAAGCAAGACTCGATATTCCCCTCCCCCCCCAATAAAAAAGCAGGGCGCTTCTAATTTGGAGGAAGATCCTTTTGGAGCACCGTTAAGATGCTCGGGCAGTCGTCAAAATTCGCGCTTTCTCGGAAGACTTCAAAAGCGGGTATACCGCTTGTCCTCACCAGAAAGCCCGGAAAAGGCCCAACCTTCGTCTCACCCTCTTAACTCTGGCTTCAAAGTGAAAACAAGCTTATCTGGGCCTCACTGCAACTCCCTTGAATTTGTTTGTGGCTCAGTTGGGTATGATGTTTGACCCAACCAGTTGGTGGATATGATTTACCGGGGGCTTCATGCAAGCACCAACTAGGCTTGAAGCTGTTTCCATCATGAAACCCACACTTCACAGCAGATTAACATGGACTCCGAAAAGGAAAACAAAAACAAATGAACAAATCTTAGTTTCGGTTTTTGCAGCTCGACCCCTTTCGCGGGGTTTCCTTCTGACGGCACCCCCTCATACAACCTATATGATCGCAACTAACATAGCCAAACAGCAGTCACTCTGACAAACAATTCCATGTCATATGTACGAAGGGGGCCCCCAAGTAAAGGACCTATATCATAGTGGGCTCGATTTACCTCTGAATTGGAGCGCTTCAAACCCACAATTCTACAGGTGCGGCAACGCATCGTTCTCTTTGGAGTCCCTCGGGTTGGCCCAATTTTTTGAGAAGAACCCCCGAAGAGAGGAGTACGGGCGTGTCTTGCTTTGCGGGCACCCCATGGTGCTCCGTTGTGATTTGAAAGGGAAACCAACGAGACCCCCCACCAAGAATCCATGTTTGAGGGTCACCGGGTCCCCCCCCCCAAAAAAAAAAACATGTGTGCAAACTCATCGACGCTCAGAGGTGAATGAAAAAAACAGCGCCTGTCATCGACACCCCAAGCTTCTCCCTGAGGCATTGCCCCAAGGTCTTGCCAGAGACGATGGTCAGGCGGGCGCCACCCTCCTGGCAAGACCAAGGGCTTGGAGCGGGTGGGTTTAAGAAGCTTTCATCTAAGAAAATACGCTCACGACAATCCCAAGTGCCAAAGGTCTTGGGCATGGTTGTGAAACAGCCACAGGTCGCTATAAGGGAGATTATCTTGGTACAACGACTCTCGCAAAACCCAAGTAGCCACGGATCGCTTGGCCGACTGGGCACGAAATATCATTGCCAGTTGAAAAGGGACCAGCCTTCCACGTTCAAAAGCTGGCATACCCAGAAAACGCGAAGGACCTTATACACCGTTCATTGAGGATGCTTCGACTGCACCTCATGAAACAAGAATAATTGGCTTCTCGGGTGCCATCCCAGAAGAAAAAACTCCCCTGCCGATGTTGCTTCCTTTTCCATTTTCTGGGCACTTGATACAACAAAGGGTCATTTGATTGATTGGGGAGGTTGGCATACAAAGAGGAACTGGAAGCGCTGGCATGGAATCATGAGAAACACAAACAATCATTGTCTACCAAGGCATAGTCTGAGTTTCACTGAGCTATCCCATCCACAAATAGCTACCTTGGACACCTCATCCCAGGATGTGCGAAAGGCGGCGGTGAGGACAGGTAATTCGCATTTGCTTGTGCTGCCACTTGAGAATGAGATACCTATCACTCCTCATTCAACACCGATCGATACAGCACGCAGAACAACATTGTCAATGCAGCACATCCATTCAAAATAGTGTTGCGCAACATCAACACAATATCTACGACCTCTTTTCAAATCAAGGGTTGAGTATCATGCATCGTGGTGAAATTGTGCACCTGGGACAAGCGTAGCTTGTTCACAGGTGTGCCATGTATGCTACCACGAGCAGGCCTTGTGACCTATGCCTCCTTTGGCATAAGATTGAATCAAGCGCACCCGCCAAGCCTTCCGTCACATGTCTCTCCCGCCTGCAGCGTGAAGGCCAAGAAGGAGGCAAAGACTAGTGCCCACACCAGCTCAAGCCTCACAATTCGCGCGTCGCGAATTCCAAAACAGCCGCATGGATCCCGACTGCTTCGGGAGAAAAAGGAATGTACAGCCTGGTGCTTGGGAATGACCAGGGCTTTGGGAATGAACCCGCGGCTTGTACGGATTTTCTTCGTTCCCTGCAAGTCAAGTTGGTTGGCCAAAGCTTTCGTTGCAAACGTTGTCATTCATTTCGCAAACCTTTCGCTGAGGCCCAATGAAGCCCTGTTTGTCCCGGGCTCTGGATGACCATGACGTGACAAAATCAAAATCGCATTATGGTCATCTCTTCGGTAAATTGTTTAATGCTTTCCGACTACAAACTGAACAAAACATACGAAGTGTAAAGGGCAAGTCCAACAATTCTAGGCACGGCCTCTTTCCCATCCCATCCCAAACTAATGAACAGTTATCCGAAAATTCAAGATTACTTTGGGATCCTGACCCTATTTCGGTCAGGGTATTCAGTTTCGGTCTTCTTTCCCAAAGAACAAGTACCGATACTGACTTCCTGAGTTGATGGGCCGAAAAGTCCAAACTGGTTGTGATCCACTAAACTCATCTTCCCAAAAACAAAGTCCAAAAACTCTGGCAGCGAGAGCAACCCCGAAACGGTGTCTCAAAATAGGGGCCAAAGACCAAGCCTTTGATCAGATCAGATCTGCTGCGAGCTCTCTCATTCACCGATCTTCGGAAGAAAAACCGAGGCTCTGATACTCCGCCCCCGCGCGGGCGCAAACGATGACCGTGCCGGGGCCGACGGTATTGGCCGCCAGCATGCACCAGTAGAGCAATGACCTGAAAACGCAAAATACGGGTCTGTCCCTTGTTTGAGGGTACCCCTTTCTTGTGTTTTTACGGAGAAACCATATGTTTGGGGGGGGGGGCCACACAATTCATACCATGTTTGGCCCATTACGGCCCGGCCCGTTTAGAATGTTTTCTACTTTGTGTTGTTGTGGGTCGCAGGGAAAGAAAACAACAATTAGCCGCATTGCTGTTTTTGCGGCTGAGCTGATTAGACAAAAAGCAACCAAAGCCGGCAAGAAGAAACCTTGCGCGAGCTGTTGACAAACATAAAGGGCAACAATGAGTAATAAATAGACCTGAAGCCCGCTTTGTGGGACTGTGCTGCTAAAACAGCTCTAAGATGGAGCAACTTTCCTCTCAGGACCCCTCAGTCCAGTTCCATTTATGGGCGGCAGGGTGCATCCCAAATCGCAGTCAAGAAACCAATATGGTTGCAATGCAATGCTGAGACGGATTCACGGGACTTGGGAATACGATGAAATTGTTCTGGTGGGATTGCAATCCAGGGAGCATCATGTCACGATTTGAGCTGACCTTTTGAAACATGTCCGTGAAGGAAAGACATATCAGGGGGTTCCTTGAAGCAGACGCAAGCCATGCTAAGTCTGTTTTCAAACCGCACACCAAACGCCATACAACAAACCATCAGAAGCCACACAGAGAAACCAATCGCCAGCTGACCCCGACACCTGTTGAGACGTGAGGAGTCCTGGGCCCCCAAGCAACAGGTCTGATCCGACGCTCATGGTCGGCCAAATTCGGCTCAGCGGCCCATGCAAGGTGCTAGGGTTGAGTGCAAGCCAAGATTGGCCTAATGCCACCTGGTTGCTCGCATGGGTGGGGGGTCGGATATTTTCACCAACTCTAAAAACGTGTAATCTGTTGGGTTGCGCACAGAAACGGGGTGCTGCTTGGCGAAGCAAGCATCCTTCATCAAAGCAGCAGAAGAGTGAAATACCTTGAGTAATTTCTCAAAACACACACACACACACAACGACAAAAGCACGCATTACTCATGTCTGCTCTTGTATCTCCAAGCCTCGAGCCAAAAAACACCGGCACGCTTGCCCGGCGCTGGCAATGAACCGGACACTGCCCCCAGAAAGACAATAGACAGGGAAATTCCAAGCACACCAACATGAACCAGTACTCCCCGGCAGATCAACAGAGAAGCGTTGAAAACCCCTGGTCTGGGGGGTTCTGGGGTTCCGTGACTCTGGGGCCAAAATTGTGTGACTCGTTGCAGGATCCAGAGCATCTCCCGGAGAGGAACATGTGATGTAACATTGATTGACGGTCCGCTTGACCACCAGCATGATTTTTTAACTGGACTTTGGAGACAAGTCGCCCCCCCCCTGAAACAAAAGCGCTAAGAGGGGCCAGGGCAAGAGGGCAAAAGCTGAGTTCAGTTCGGGAAGCAGTCATAGTTCAATCAGTTGTTTGAAAGTCGCAGAGACCCGAAGTGGCAAGCTCTCTTCAAAGCGAACCTGCTCAACCCTGCGATCATGCTATCTGGTCAGGTCCTCACGGACAAAACCATTTCCATGGCCGAAACTAGGCCTTTCTGTCCTCCCCACCTGAGCATACCGCTTGCGTAATTTGGCCAACGAGCGCTGACGCCGAGGTCCATAAATGGCAGTAGTCGAACTCAAAAGTGCATGTATTCAGTGGGCATGGGTCAAAAAACAAATCCAGGGGCGCAGGTTTTGTCCTTGGTTCAACTTACCAAACTACCAATTTTTGACCCTCGGCAAAGTGTCTGCAACCGTGCATGGTCGAATGGCAATTTTTTGCATTGACGGCTACCTGCTCCCGAAGCATAGAGCAAGATTTGACAACCTTCGCGTCACTCCGGCCACTTCCGTCGCCGATCTGAGAACATATTCCAGGGATAAATAGTACTACGTAGAAAATGAACACCAAGACGTGATATGGTTGGAAACCTGCTTCATAGATGGGCCGGCCAAGTTGGGACATCCGGAATGTTGGCAGAGCTCATGGCGCATGGCTGGCGCTTGTTTCAGAAGCCCTGACTTTAATCGGGCCCACCCTTCCCCAAAGGAAGACAAAACCAAACCACGCCTGCGGTGCAGGCCCTGGATGGCAGGGACCTGCGAAAGCGGCTCTACGAAGCAAAACCGAAAGATGGCAGGGAGTTCAGGGAAAGAAAGCAGGGAGAGTTCCAGAAAGAGCGAAAGACCAACGGAAAGACCAAGAACAGCAGACAAAATCTGACTGATCTTTTTCATACCAAACCGCCTCACGGATTTCCACAGGGCGTCCTTTCTAGGGAAAGCCCCCAAGAGTTGAGAGCTTTGGACATCCAGAACTCCAACGAGCTCGGAGCTCGTACATCCCAAAGCTGGAGTGGATGAGCCAGCGGCTTCTTTCTTTCTGCGTCCTTCTGGGAGTAACCAACAAATGGAGGCCTACATTGGGAAAACCACCAAATACCGCCAAAAAACTCTGCGGCAACGCCAAACAACGGATTTCATTGCCCCCTCCCCTGAGGCCTTTGCCCAAGCCACAAAATTCCGCTCTTCTCCATCATCCCCTATTCGGACAAGCATTACAGGGCATCCCGTTTCCCACCCAATCCGGCGGATTGCCTTGGAACGGCCGCCGTTGAATCCTGTGACATCCGAAAATATGAGATTGGAAAACCGACTTTCAGGTGTTGAAAGTGGGCGATTCCACCCCTCCCCCCTGCCTTCCACGTGGTGTGGCCGGCAGCGGCAGGGTGATGCAAGCCTAAAGCCCCAACATCTCCGTCAAACCAGAAATAATTCGGCCACAAAAAACAACACAGCACTCACTACGGCCGAGTCCCCCGAGTACCCCCCATGTCCTAAGATGACCCAAATCAACTCAGAAGCGCCCTTACCCCATACTGCCAACTTGCCCTCTTAGACAAAACCAAACCAAACATGCATGCGGCCCGCCCGCCAGATTGCGTGTTCGGTTGGCATGCAAAAAGCTGCCATCGACTGTCGACTCGCACCTCAAGGCAAAGTAGGCTATGCAACTGACCGTCAGTCCATGTTTCTTGAGAATCGGATCCTATTTGTCCCTGAAAAAACGAGCTTGAATAGGCTTGAATGTAAGTTGTGCTCGCGAGAACGATAAAAGCAAAGCAAGGATAGCGGGAAAGCCCAGTCAGCACACCTTGTTGGTGTATTAAACCTACTTGACTAGACTCAGACTCCCAGCAAATGTTGATTGTTTGCTGGTCAAAAGAGAAAATGAAGGAACCCCAATGGGGCAGCAAGGTTGGCTCAGTCTTGCCTCGCCTAGTCACCTTTGTTCAACACCCAAATCACACCTGAGAAAAGAACGATCACTGGCTATCACAAGCAAACAAGCCACTGTCAAGCAGCACCGAGCCTCCATATGACGAACGAAACGAGTCTCGCTCCAAGTGCTGGGCCGTTCTCTCTGGCGAGGAGTCCTTGCGAAGGCTTCAGCATGTCCCACACGCCGAGAAGCCTGTGCCTTTCCTGGGCTGCCCTGAGATCTCCCGCTGAAAGTCAAACTTTAGTGGGTTAAATGAAAAACCACTTACCACTCAAAGGCTAAAAAGCTAAGGAACCGGATGGCTGGGCGCCAAGTTTTGACATGCGCAGCTTAAAGCAAAGCCGTTGCTCGTGCCGCCACCGAAGCGTCTCTGCAGCCAAAAAGCCCCGGAGCAACAGCCGAACAGCATGAACTGCCAGCACCACTGGACCAACATATTCACGCACAAACATGAGTTGAATGTAGATTGATTCATGGAAGCTCAAGAGTGCCGATGTAAAACTCGAGTTCAACTTGGAAAGGTATGCTAGCCAGCATACAGGAAACATCCGATCTCTGGACAATCCAGGATATATGTTCGTCCAAGAGTCGTTAATCAACAGCCACTCTGTGTGGGCCCCATCTTAAAAAAGAAGAACCCTGGACGAAAGTGAGAAGTCTACCATTGACACATGCATGAAATCAGACAAAACGGCCTGGGGTGAGCTTTGCTCTTGACATAGTGGTGCGTCGATCCCTTTCAAAGGTTAACAACTTTTGGGATACTGTTGTCAATCCCTAAACCTCAAGCATCTTGCAGGATCATCTTGCATGACAGACGGACACAATTCCCCCAATGAATGCTCCCCTTAAATGGGAACCCCGGGTCTAGGTAGACCCCCCGGTTGATTAACAGGGGGTTTTTCAGGGGCCCCATACACCCAAGTTGGTTGATGGAGCCTTCAAAAACACCGGGAGCAACCAATTGCCGCAACTGCCGTCGCATCGCATTCGAATCCATCCGGCTTGCCTGAAGTCTCGACCTGCGCACCGCGTCTCGGTTTTGGCCGTGCAAACCAAGAGGGTCGGGTCTTGCCCGGAGTGTTGTAAGCGACTCATTGGGTTCCAGACAAACCCACTCAAAATCGGGCATTGCCCCAAGTCCGGGAGCCGAAACCAACAAAAACCGTGGCAGAGTCCTCTCAAAAGCATCAAGCCAAATGCCCTCTGCGCATTTCAAAGACATAGTCCACCATGCAAGCCTAGCTCTTCCTACCCAGGGCTTTTACCTACCCCTCCCACCAACACATTCGACTTTGGGGATGGGATTTGGTATCAATTCCCAACAGACAAAAGGCTCTGAATCCTTACGTCTTTACTCGCCCCATGTTATTCTACCCTTTTGATCCGCGCCACCCCAGAAGCGAAACCTGACTCCTGGAAGCACACCCACCCAGATCCCAGGCAAGCCCTAGGAAGCCAGGTTTCTGTGGTTCCCTTTCCCTACACAACCAGGATGGATCCGGTCCTGCCAGGGGAGCCTAACAGAAAAAGCCCAGCGCCTGGAGGAGTCGCGAGGCGAGTCCTGCCGGGTTCAGGTGTCAACCGGGGGGTGCATCCAACGAACTGAAGACCGAGTGAAAACCCAGGTGGAACGTTCATGGGATCAACCAAAGAGTGCATTCGTGGATTTTTCGTTCTGGTTCTTTTGCGAGCTGAAAGCTATGGGGTCGATAGGCCCCATAAAAGGCGATAAGGGATGCACCTTTCGGGGAGGGTGCCGGAGATTCGGCTCCAGAGGGTTCCGAGGCTAGCCAGCAGAGTTTGCATATGACGAGTTTCATCATCTAACTTGGGTCAATCGTGCTTTTACTGGGTGTTGAACCCTAGGGTTCTCCTACGAAACAAGGCTAGCATGGCAATCAACTGGTTATCCCCAACATGGTTTTCAGGAGTAGCTTGTCTTCAGCAAAGATGACCCCTCTACAAACCTCCCCAGAAATCATCGGGCCATCCCCATCGGGGGCTTCACAAATGGTGGGCTGCTTGAGGGGTCAACACTAATCGGTGAACGGCTCAAGCACATCTCGAAGCCTTGCAAAACAGATGGCACAGGCATTTGGAACCAAACTGCAACGACTATTTTCAACCAAATTGACCAAGAAAGAAAACCCCTGCCTCCAAGTACCTCAATATTTTCTGGCAGCTAATCTCATGTCGTTTGATGTCGTCTGCCAGTCAGCTTGCTGCAAAGGGCAATAAGGCCTCTGTCGCAAACTCTGTTTGTGCGATCTCGAATGCTCACTTCCTTGGTCTTCCAAAGACCCGCTCAAATCAGGTACTTCCGAAGAGGCCCGCTAAAAGCAGGTCGCTTTCCATAGTGTCAGGGAGAGACCTGTTTCGCAACACCTGAAACATACTCTATTTTCGTACCGCTGTCAAAATTAGGATGTTGAAGCTGATTAAAACAAGACCTGTCACACGCCATGCCCCACTATTGTTTTGAACAACATGCCAAGTGCCGCAAACAAGGCTGAGGCCGCTGAAAGTGAGGTCGCTCACCGAACCTTTCGAAAGGACCCGCTAAAACGAGGTCCCAGAAGACCAAGGACTTGCTCACCGCTGAAGAGTAACTCTCGCTAAGATCCACACGCCGAACACCTCCCCAGTGAACAAGTCGACCATCAGCCATCCGACCAGGTCAAACAAATGAAGGATTCTTCAAACCACGTGGAACGGGGGGCGCGCCGCAGGTCGCTTCCTAACGTTGAGTTTTCCACTTGAGCAACTCGATAAACACGCCCTGGGGGCCAGAAGCGATCAGGCACACAGCTCTTGCTCAGCACGTGTCAAGGATCGGGTTTTGTAGGATGCTCCTTGACTTAAGATGGTCTGACGACTTGAAATTGACTTGCAAACGTCAGGGCTTAGAATGGTCAATCCACAAAGCCTGAGGTCCGGATTTCTCGGAGAAAGCCGAAAACACGTCCCAGGTCGCCGGGTCGGTCCAGCCAGTACTTGGGACTGGATGCTGTTGAGCTGGAAGGCGTGGTGGGCCTCGGCTGGTCGAGAATCCGTGCGGAAAAAAGCAAAGGACGTCTTTTGGAATCAGCTCCTCAATTGCTCCGTTTGTCAAAATAGGGAGTTGGAGACCCCAACTCGGTGGATTCCTCTGACCCCCACAGCAGGTTCCAACTGGAGCCGCCCCCTTCACTGGTTCCTATCTAAAACCGATGCCTCGTGGGGTTCCGGGCATCGGCCGCTCCCTCGGCAGCGCCAAACGCCGCTTCCGCACCGCGAGCACCGGGGGCGCCGTTTGCCGCGGCTGCCGCATCGCCGGCACTGGCGCCGCCGGCTGCGGGGCCGCGGGGGCGGCGTTGGCTTCGGCGTCGGCGCGGTGTTCGGCGCCTGGTGCACTCCGCTCGCGGATGTGGCAGTGGTGGACTTTGGATGCCCTAAGGTTTGCATTTTTTTTGGTTGGAAAGTGGTTTGGCAGACATTATGACCCAAACGCCAAGTGTTTGCCCTTCTTTCAGGAAAAGAACATCTGGGCCTGCTAGAAGTAAAAACTCTCAAAACCAACGTGTGGGCAAACCCCCAAAACCGGAGCGCATCTTCCAATGGGAGGAGGCTGAATTCAGGGCAAACAACTTGTGGCACTCGGCAATCATGTTCTAACCGGACCGGATCAGAAGCCATTCTGAGAAACCCCTTGGCATCCTCAACCATGGCGCGGTTCGAAGGTCCCTCTCTGCAGGCTCAATTCGTCCTGTTCCGGGTATTCCTCGAAAACACACCAACAACAAAAACCGTTTCCGCTTCCTTTTCGGTCTTCCTGTAGGAATGCGCCCTTGGTTTGTTTTCGCTTGGTGGTCACCACGAGGAACTACGCGAACCCACCGCATGCCAACGAACAGCGGCTCCCGCCTGGCCGCGGTTCTGAGTTGGGCCTCAGGCGTGAAAAACTGGGACGAACGTCAACTTCATGGGATCCGCTCCTCCTGCAGACCTTTCTGCAAAAACCGGCTGGGCCCGTATATAGAGAAGCCAAAATTACATGTTCTTCGTCAAAGTCAGTCTATAAGTGGTAGGTTGAGGGGAAACCACCGATTCCCGTTTCTGACGTTGATCACCCACAGAAAAGCCAAAATAACCAAACAGGGACGCGGCCAAGAAACCCCAGAGGTCTGTCTGCCTGATGAAAACGCACTCTGAGCGCAAGGCTCCCAGTCTGACACGTCTGACTGCGCATCCCCCTGCGATGATTTCCACACAATGTCACAAGGTGCGTGTGTGTGTGTGTGTGTGTGTGTGTGTGTGTGTGTGTGTGTGTGTGTGTGTGTGTGTGTGTGTGTGTGTGTGTGTGTGTGTGTGTGTGTGTGTGTGTGTGTGTGTGTGTGTGTGTGTGTGTGTGTGTGTGTGTGTGTGTGTGTGTGTGTGTGTGTGTGTGCGTGTGTGTGCGTTCGCGTGTGCGTGTGCGTGTGTGTGTGCGTGTGTGCGTGTGCGTGTGCGTGTGCGTGTGTGTGTGTGTGTGTGTGTGCGTGTGCGTGTGCGTGTGCGTGTGCGTGTGCGTGTGCGTGTGCGTGTGCGTGTGCGTGTGCGTGTGCGTGTGCGTGTGCGTGTGCGTGTGCGTGTGCGTGTGCGTGTGCGTGTGCGTGTGCGTGTGCGTGTGCGTGTGCGTGTGCGAGCGTGTGCGTGTGCGTGTGCGTGTGCGTGTGCGTGTGCGTGTGCGTGTGCGTGTGCGTGTGCGTGTGCGTGTGCGTGTGCGTGTGCGTGTGCGTGTGCGTGTGCGTGTGCGTGTGCGTGTGCGTGTGCGTGTGCGTGTGCGTTTGCGTGTGCGTGTGCGTGTGTGTGTGTGTGTGTGTGTGTGTGTGTGTGTGTGTGTGTGTGTGTGTGTGTGTGTGTGTGTGTGTGTGTGTGTGTGTGTGTGTGTGTGTGTGTGTGTGTGTGTGTGTGTGTGTGCGTGCGTGCGTGCGTGTGTGTGTGTGTGTTGAAACAATGTTTTCCCAATCTTGCCTCAATTTAACAGGTGCACAGGCCCTCTTGCCTGAAAGGGCTAGTCTTCAAACGGTCGAACTTGCACTTCCATGTTTCTTGCAGGTGCAACTGGGACATCTGCCAAGTATGTACTACCGGATCCAGCACTCATACGAATCCTTCACTCACGCGTTTTAAGCAAGGTGAGTGCTTGCTGTTTGTCGGGACAGGTGGGAGGCGTACCCGGAAAACAACGTTCTGCGCAGTGGGGCTGCCGCCCCCGTCCAGGAAATGAGGGCCCGGATGACAATGAATAACCGTGGCCTCCTAATTAGCGGGAAGACAACAACCATTGTGAAACAATGAGCAATATGGCCGGCGAAGGGCCACTGAGCAAATGAGCCAGAAGCAATCCCTAATTTGAGGAAACCCCCGTGGCCTGAACCGGCACTTTGGCAGCACACTAGGTTGGCCGAATGTCCAGCTCCAGCTGAGGGACACTTGAGGAGATTGGGTGGACCCAATCCTTGCCATAGCGTTTATGCGGATGCGCTAATCAAGTAGGCACCAAATTTATACGCGAGAACTCCTGTCGCAACTTGTTATGTATATGGGGGTTGTGAAAAAAGAATACTTCTCTGAAAAACTGCCCTTCCGCCTTTCCCAATCAAGGATTGCGATCTGGGCTTGTCTTTTGAGGATACCCCTTGGTTTGCTTTGAAAGGAAGCTCCAAGGATTGAAAGCCATCCGGAATGAGGCTTCCCTGAGACACGTATCGCCTCAAGCGGCCCGCCTCTGGAGTGGCCGTCTTCTTCAGCCTGCGAAGCGAAGCACGCCGCACGGATGGCACCCAGTGAGTGGCTCCGCTTGGGCCCGAAAAAAAGAAGAACCCCCAAAAAAAACACGGGCTTTGCCCGTGGGACCGGGACGAAAGCTGGCTGAAAAGTACGCTTTGAACAGGGTTTTGCAGAGCCTGGCGAGCCCCTCACAGCTTGAGAAGCCTTTGCAAGTCAAGAGAACATACCCTCCCGTTGGAACCCACCAGACCAGAGGTTCCCTGCAAAAAAAACACGTCTGGATCCATGCGCTCAAGCCGAGTCGCAAATGCCATCCCAAACATCGGTGACAGAAAACGACACTCTGATTATCAAAGGATTCCCTTCCTATTGAGCTTTTGTTGATTAAATAGTCTTGCCAAGAGCGAACCAGTCAAAGGAAGGACAGGGCTTTAGCATCCGTTATTGACTGCCGAAAACACAAATATGTTTTTGTTTCATGAGTTCAGTCAGTTGTCATCTTATCTTCATGCATCTGATCTGTGGGGGCATGTGCATTGGCAGGCTAGAGAGCGCGACTTGACGTGCACTTCGATACAACATAGACTGTTCTTGGCGATGTAGGGATCGTGGCCCCTCAGAAAATCACCCGTGGGTGTGTTCAATTGCAAAACCTGGAACTAAGATCATTGGGAAGCTTGTCTGCAAGTCGAAAAGTCCAAACACCCTGCCCAACTTTGACCCAGAGATCAAAGCTTAACCTTTCGGGGCCAACAATAAATGGGAACCCAAACCGGGGGAAACCAAAACTTGCTGAAGTGAGAATCTCTTCTGGGCTGCCCTCAGATCCCTCGCTAAAGTTTAACTTTTGGAGGGTAGAATGGAAACTACCACTAAACACTGAAAGGCTAAAAGGCTAAGGAGGAGCCACCAAGAAAAGTGCTGAAGTGAGAATCCCCTGGGAATCCCCGTCGATTCCCTTTGAACACGTCGAGAATCCCATGGAACCCACGTCCAGGCGGCCTCTGCACCGCCAACACGGCAGAGACGTTGGGGGACGCCCGGCCCTCGGCACGGTCGATCAAGCTCGGCTCGCCCCGCTTCAGGTGGTGGTTTAGGCCAATATCACAAAAAGTTGTTTTTTTGTTTTAAGAAAACTTTCTTTCTTTCTTTTTTTTTTTGGGGGGGGGGTTCTCTTTTTTGTTGGATGTTTTTTTTTGGGGGGGGTTCTCGGTTCTAAGAAAACACGTATCACTTGCAGAGTTTGCGGGATTGGCTTTGGCTGCTTAGGCCAAAAAAACAAAAACAGCACAGATGTTCCCATACACACTTACACTGGCACGACCGAACTCATGTCCCCATCTTCATCAAGAAGTCCTGGGTCGCCTGGTAAAGCCCTGACAAATTGATAACAGATGGGGCTGTATTTTTTGCGGTACGCTTTTGGGGCTGTTTCAAGGGAAACCAAAAGGAACACCACCATTTTGGGGGGTCCCCTTAAAACGGACACACCCAGGCTGGGCTCCGCCCTGTGCGCATCGGGCAAACAGGCGGCTTTTGTTGAATTGGAAGGGAAACCCGCAAGATCAAAGTCTATGCGGCTGTGACTGTCTCATCCACCTCAAACAAAGACTTCCCGCAAGCCTTCCCCACAAGCCGCCGCTTGCCCCTTCCAGCTTGGCTCAACCGGCCCACCTTTCGCCTGCGGAGAAATCAAATGATGCGTGCAGCGCTCAACAACGCAGACGCTGAGCAGTGACAAACGGGTAATAACATTTTTTTGTTTCTTGCCTCAGGCAAGCCCAACATTTCAAATCATCACATCTCTTTGAAGCCCATTCAGGTTCCGGCGCGGTCGCGGCAGGGCGACGCCACCCCGCGGACCTCGCGAGCCCAGCTGAGGCATGAGGCGCTCGGGTTCTGCCCGTATTTGTGAAGTCCCATTGGTGCAGGGGTCCGATGTAGGAAGCACGGCCCGGGAAGCCCAAGAAGGAAGTCAAATGGGACAACCCACCGCGTTGGGGCCAGAGGGTGCGGATCTTGGGTCAAGATTCGGATCAGAGCCGGCCGGGCTTCACGGGAGAAACGGCTAGTCTGTTGGTGGGGCAAAAATCGCTCGCTGGTTCTCAGAATGAGAAATGGCGTGAACCTCTTTGCACTCCCCAATCGCTTCCTTTGAGGGAATCCCACGGTTCATTCCCAAACCCCTGGGTCCTCCAGCAAGATGATTGGAAAGCCAAGAGAGGGAACAAAAACACGTTGTTGATTGGTCTGATGGCAGTCTTTGGTGGAACCCGCACAAAGATGTTCAGCACAAATCCACACCTGTCTTTGCGCTGAGACCGTCATCCATATTTTCGTCACTCTCAAAATTATCAACTTGAGACGGCCGAGGAGGTTCTTGGTTCAGCTTCCGAACTGTTGGCCCAGCCTGCAATCCGAGGAGGGGACATGAGGCTACAAGAGATGGTGCTAACTTGAGAACTCTGCCAAAAGTGCTTTAAGGACCTGCCCAAAAGTACTCACATCCAGCCAAGTAGCCCTTTGACCCGAGTTTTTTTGGCGAAAACCTCAAGAGATCCGCTGAACCTGGGGTCAAAAGCAAACCGTATGCTCCCGTGACACTGGAGCACGGAACAGCTGGCGACAAATAAAAAACGATCCGGGGTGAGAAAGCTCTGAACCTCTTTGCCCATGTGCAAATTTGTAGTGAATCTATAACCCGTGTTTGTTTGTCTGGGGCTTGGCGATGTGGGAACCATCCCAGATCAGATTTGGGGTAGATGTTGATTGCCTCTTCCACTCGGAGGAATCGTTTTATTTTTCCAAATTCACGGGGGAATTATAGGTACCTGTGGGTTGCCAAGCGATACCCTTGAGGCCGGCTCCTTGGGAGATCCAGGAGGCGTCATCAGCACAGCCTCAGGCAGTGGACTCTTCATTGAGAGATGAGCCCCCGACAAATCCAACACCTTGCCGCCATGTTTTTGCCGATCCACGAACTAAGATGGAACGCCGACACCACAACTGGAAGCGCAAGAAGCCGTGTAAGAATTCCAATCTCAATAATCAGCGCACGCCCGACCAGCTCATGTCGTCTTGGTGATTGCCCTCCGACAGGCGATTCCATGGAATCTCCCAGGAGAGCTAAGTTGTCCACAGTCCTGGGAGGGTTGCTTGCTCGCCCTCGATGGTGATCAACTTTAGGGAGCAAGCTGAAAAGTCTTTCAGTAAGCGAACCCACGGGCGGTTTAAACGAATCCGCCCAAAGTGCATCTGCGGTCCTGCTTTTGGTGAGTTTATCCACTGCAATTTACCGAGCTTCCACTTTTTGCGGGAAGGAGCTGTCGCATGAGCCACGAGAGTTGCCTTTCCCCCAAAAACTGCACAGGCATCCTCACCGCAAAGACTGGGGTTTTGTCGTACACCCCGGACTCACACCTGGGGCTTCTTTATGAAGAGAGCGTCGCAAGTACTATCGGGAGGTGTGATCTACTTGTGTCTCCCCGTCTTAAAACGGGCCCTCTTCTGTGGTATCGATTGAAATTGGGGCAGCCCGAACCCGCTTATTCCCGCAACCCAGGTGTGATCCAAGGGCAAGAGGTTGGACTTGTGACCCCCTTGTTGGTTGACAACAGCTGGGGCCGCCATTGTCCGAGGCTTCCGAAGCAAACCCAGTTCAACCTATTCAAGGTCCAAAGAAGTAAACAATGCAAAAGTACAAAACAACCATCTGCATGTTGTTTTACAAAAAAAAGCATCGACAAACATGATTTAAGTGTTCCAAGGAAACCTTGTTGTGGGTTGATGTTCAGGGGCCCCCTCCAAAAAGCGGAGAGAAAGACAAAGCAATCCACGCATCAGCCATCGCCCGGCCAGGGCTTTCTTCGGCCCTGGCGTCAGCTTTCGTGACCGGCTCGGGCAACAGCCGGCGACGCAGGTCTGAGTGCGGGCGGCTTGGCTTCCAACCAACCGAAGGCCTAAGTCAATTGATCAAACCCATCGGAATTAAAACCGACTCAAAAGCATGTTGCGATTTCTTACAAATCAGATCTCCGGCCATGGTTGACATTGTCCCTGAATCTTCACTTACCCGCGGTTTTGATTGTGGATCACCTGACCTTTGTGTTTTGAGCCGTCAGGGGAAGGGTGTTCACATAGCCACCATGGTCCTGTCATCCCACCGCCACCGCCAAGACTTCCTTTTTGGAAAGGGCCGCACCAAGCATTGCCAAGCATCCGGAGAAAACTCACTTGGAATCATAGTTGAAGCCTTTTGAGCCCTCCCGAGAAAGCCAAATCGAAGCTCCCTCCTAGAGAGTGCCCAAACACGTGTCGCATGTCCCTTGTTGGTCCCAGAACCCAAGGCTTGACGAAATGTCAACTATGGTCGTTGGAATTCGTTGAAACAGTTCATGTGCATTCTGTCAACCATGTTTATGACCATGTTTACGACCATGTTCAACAATGTTGGCCCACACCCACCCCTTTTCGGAAGTCTAAACTCTGATGATATTCAGCTTCGCCTTCAACAGCAACGCGTGCTTACGACAAAGCCACCCAGTGCAAAAAGCTCCTAGGCCGACACGAGTCGACTGGTCCAGAACCGCAAACTCATTCGGTCATCTGACCTTGCCACTTTCCTTGAACATCAACGTCACCGCTTTCCTTTCTTTCTCCAGGATCCTGGTCACGAACCAGAAACACCACCAAAACACAAAAAAACGTGTACGTATTTGCGTGTATTGGTACCCTCCTGTCTGCTAACATGGACCCACCAGTGCCAGAGGGTCCCTTTTAGGAGTAAATAGGTGTCGAGTTTCGAGCCCTCGGTCAGAAAACCATGGGCAGGGGGGTCCTATTTATACCTCAGCAAACCCAATGGACTCTCCAAAGGGTTGGGTCACAGGAAATTCTACTGGAAAACCAGCTTTAGGGTGCTTGTTAGGGTGTTTTGGGGTCATTTCCTGTGAACCAAAAACTCAATTTGAGGCCTCTCCATACCCCAATCCAACTCCTCCAACAAGAGCTCACTCGCTCCCTTCCAGGAGAGCTGCGGGGCATGCCGCTGGCCATTGCCACCTCCTCTGCCACCCGCGCGGCAGCCTGCAAAGTTGCGAGAGAGACAAAAACATGAACCAACTGATTTGCTGATTTAAACAAACAAGTTGAAAAACAAACACATGCAGGAACTAGAGCATCTATGACTTGAAGGATCAGTTTTCTTGAGAGCGTTTGTATGTCAGAGGCTGAACATGGCTGCGGGCAAAACGAGGATCAATGATGCCCGAGATGCTACATCCCGCAAACCAGCTCCCCAAACCCTTTTGTCAACTGCGCCTATGGAACCAAAAAGCACATTAATTGGTGCAAAGCAAACCCCTCTATGTCTGGGGCAAGTGGCACTGCCAAACCCAATCCGAGGCCACCCCACCATGGCTTGTCTTTTAACACCAAGCTGAACATCCAGTCTTCACAAACACCTGCTAATTAGTTTCCCCGAAAGGGGTGTCAAAAGCGAAAACAATGACTGCAGCCTTCCGAAAGAAACCAAC